AATTTGGATTGCTTGACGGAAGTTTGATAATTGTGAAACATTTCTGAGCAGCAGCACAGAGACAGACGGGTATGTGACCATGTGGAATCATGAAAGGACGGCGTTCCCACGGACCTGTGAACGTGTACGTTAGCGCCGCTGAGCCCAGCAGTGGAGCGTCTGTACGTACGCCATCAAGTGGATTCAGAAAGTCAAATATGACATTACCTTTCTGCTGCTTGAAACTATAGAAGCAAAGTATGAACATGTTTTTAAAAGAGAAACGTGTCGCTGGGCTTAGCGTGCTAGCACACAATCCTGTGTAGTACTTTATTATTCAAATATACTCAAGTACTCATTACACAGAAAAATATTCATATTATTGATAATCAATGTGTAGAACACGTTAATTACACAGCTAGAAATTGTTTACTTATATACTACTGGGTAGCGTTACACTCCAAGCCTGGGGTAACCTGGGCACCAGACAAATACTCAAAGTGTGATTGAAGAGTGTGATGAGTCTGCATGGTCACAACAAACGTGAGACAACCTGTAAACTCCTGCATGCAGGCGGGGCCTCAGCAGGTAGAGCACGGGACAGGATACTGAGGCTACGTCTACACTAATCCGGATAAATTTGAAAACGGCGTTTTCATCTTAAAACGCTCCGCATCCACACTGTAGTTTTCAGACCTTTTCATCCACACTGAACGCTACATTCCTGTACTGCGCACGCATGAAAAGTAAGATGTAAGCAAGCTGCGTTTTTTCCATCTGCCATTTATTTACTTTCTGGCTCTTCACGGCAAAATGTGGAGGAAAAGCAGCCAGTTTTATCTGGAGCATGTACAAACTGGTATCAATAGGGCTGTCAAAATTCAGAGCTCCTCCAACCTGCTGGCTAAAGACTTTTTAAATGTCATAGACTCTTTTAGCTTCACCCAGCATGCATTGGATCCAACACATGTACAGGGCCACACGTTGGACCTCGTGTTGTCTTCTGGATTTCCAATTTCTAATTTGGAAATATTGAATGCGATTTTCCCTGATAATTGTCTAGTAGTGTTTAACATACTTTTATCTCACTGTCATTTTAAACCAACAATCCCAACACGCCGTTATCGTGTTTTTAAACCACTGACTATAGAACAGTTCTCCACTGCCTTTAAAAAATGGTCGGGTTCTTCCCTTGTTGATGGCACCGAGCAGATCGAATCAAACTTTTCTAGTAAATGCAAGGCTGACAACTCAATCAGACCCGAGGACAAACGAGACGACCCGATCAGCTAGACGACAGTGCAGGAAGGCTGAACGAAAATGGAAAAAAGACAAGCTACAAGTTTCCTTTCTGCTGCTGAGAGAGTCTATAGAGATATCAGGACATTGTAAAAGCTGAAAAATCTAAGTTTCTCGCAAACAACTCTAATAATCCCCAAACTCTCTTCTCAGTTATTGATTCGGGTCGAATACCCCCCTGCCTCTCATATGTATAGCTCTGCTGAAACTTGCCATAGAGTCTTGCAGTTTTCTATTAATAAGATAGAAATGCTTCGATCTGTGTCGACCCTATCTCTGTACGATGCCTCACTAACATATACCTGTTCTACTGCTTTTAACCAGTTTGAGCCTGTGTGTTTTAACCAAGTGGGAGATCTTTGTAACAGTATAAAGACATCATCCTGCCCCACAGATGGAGTCCCAACACATTTTTAAAAAAGATTATTAAGGTAGTCGGCTCCGACATTTTAACTATTTTTAATAGTAGTCTCAGCTGTGGAGTGGTACCAACTGGATTTAAGCACGCTGTAGTGCAGCCAGTACTTCAAAAATCGAACCTTGACTCCTCTGCTTTTGCTAATTTCAGACATATTTCCAAGTTTCCGTTTCTGTCAAAGGTTTTGGAGAGGATTTTGTTTGAGCAGCTACAATCCTTTCTAAATAATCATAATATCTTTCAGATATTCTGGTCAGGTTTCAAAACCCACCACTACACAGAAACTGCCCTCCTAAAAATTCTTAATGACATTTTGTTAATCACCGATTCAGGTGACTCAGCTGTGCTCCTGCTTCTAGACTTAACTGCAGCCTTTGATCCTGTTGACCACAGTATTCTGATCTCGCGACTGTATCAAAGGTATCCCTGTGGAATGGTTTCGGTCGTACCTCTCCGAGAGGACTTTTCCCGTGAGCCTTGGTGATTTCACTTCCTCCACAGCTCCATTTACTTGTGGTGTCCCGCAGGGTTCCGTATTAGGCCCAATTCTCTTTTCAATCTATATGCTACCCCTAGACCTAATCTTTAGGAAGCATAACATCTGCTTTCACGCTTACGCCGACGACACCCAGATTTATCTGCGGCTTAATAGAAACACCTCCACTTCCATGGAATCTTTATTCAAATGCCTTGACGAAGTTAAAACCTGGATGGTCTCAAATTTTCTTACCTTTATTGAGACAAAACTGAAGTAATTCGTTTTAGACCAAGCTGTAACTTTAATGCCCCAGATTTAGATTTATGTAACTTAGCATTTGTTGTTAAAATAAAAAAAACCTGGGGGTTTTTCTTGGATACAAACTTGCATTTGAGAAACAAATTAATTCAGTTGTTCAGCGGTCCTTTTTTAAATTAAGGCTCCTATCCAAGGTGGGATCATTTTTATCCTGTAAAAACCTGGAGCAAGCAGTCCATGCGTTCGCCCTTTCTCGAGTGGACTACTGTAATTTGCTATACGTCGGTGTCAGTCCAGTCTGGCACGGCTCCAACTTGTACAAAATGCTGCAGCCTGCCTTTTGACTCATGTGAAGAGACACCAACATGTTACCCCGGTGCTTGCTTCTCTTCATTAGCTTTCAGTGCATTTTAGAATTAAATGTAAAATCTTACTTTTGACTTATAAAGCGCTAAATGGCCCAGCACCAGACTATTTGTCTGACCTTTTGCAGCTTTAACAATCTACCTCTGCACATTAGAAAGGCCCCACCTGTCACTCTTTAAATCCCATCTTAAAACACATTTTTTCTCTTTGGCTTTCTATACTGTATGAGGGTTACCAAGTTGTATTTGAATTTTCTTACCTGTTCGATGATGTTATTGTTTCATTATTACGTTGTACAGCACTTTGGTCGACTCTTTGCTGTTTTTAAATGTGCTTTATAAATAAATAAATAAATGAATAAAATGACTAACCGACTCAGAGATCCCAGTGGCCCTACCTTCCTGCACCTGTGTCTTCTTTAGGTGCTATAACGAGATCAGGACGTTACAGCATTATAGACCCAAACTGCTGTTTATTGTGAAATGTTAAACAGTGTTAAGAACAGCAGCAGTTGGGTAGTAGTAGCTCAGGGGCAGTGTTGGGCAAGTTACTTTGAAAAAGTAATTAATTATAGTTACTTCTTCAAAAAAGTAACTGAGTTACAAGATTCTAAAAGCAATTAATTACTTGAAAAGTAACTATTGCATTACTTTAAAAAAAAAAGTTTAACCCTCCAGGGTATAATTGGCCATTTTAACTACTTTTGGTGTTTCCTCTACATTTCACCTTTACAAACTATTTACTTTGCCTTGTTTGGTCTCATTGTTTTCAGCACAACCTCACGTGTCTGAATTTAGTTATCTTTTCATTTTGACTACTGTACTAACTGATCTAAAATCAGATAAAAAACATAAAATCCGAGTAGAAAGGGATATTTTTTACTGTAACAGCCACAAACATGTTTATTGAATATTTCATAACTTTAAATGCAAAAACTAAACTGTCACTTTAAAATCCTATGCACAGGTTTTGCAAACAACAAAGTGATTTGCAGTAATTTACCCGTTTTCTAATAACCATGTCAAACTGTTTACAGAACAATCAGCTGTTCTTCAATAAGATGCCACAAATTATTTGTGCCAAATATTTCTGTCCACTATAAAGGAAACATCACAGCCTGATACCTGCAGGTCTGACAGCAGCAGGTGCATCACTCCTGTTTCTACCTGGAGACAGCAGTCGCCTCATTGTTCTGACACACAACACAAACTATCCACAACACTACACACTAACTACATAACACATTAACTACACACTGCAAACATGCTAAACGTCACAAATCTCTCACATCTCAAAACTCCCTCTCTCTCTTCATCACTCCTCCTCTTCCTAAACAACCAAATGTCATGTTGCCATATCATTTTTTGATTGGTCGACATGGTGCATTTTTCCACCAACAGGCTATTTTTGGTTTGTTTTTTATTTTTTTGGCTCATAAGCAGAGAGAGCTCGCTGCGCTGTCCTTAGACAGTAAACGTGATTGAAAACTGGTACATGTCACCTTGTTGCTTTGTCTTTAAGTGGTCATGTGATTGGCTGACCACGACTACTTTGTTCTTCCTCAGTCAAACAGCAGCACTCATGCGATTATTTTGCCCCCTTAGCTCCAGGTGTTGTGCCAAAAAGTGATGTCAGCCAGAAAGTGATCGCCGCCCGCGGGAGCGCGCAGCTGCTTAAAGCTGTAGCGCTCAGTTTACTTACAGCTACTTCCTGCAGCTGATATAAGGAGCTGTAAGCTGAACAGAGCGTCAGCCGTCTGTTTGTTGAAAAATAGTAACGCAACCGCATTTTCTTGTTAGTAACAGTAACTGCGTTGTAACGATAGAAATAGTAATTAGATTACTCGATACTGAAAAAAGTAACGCCGTTACTTCTAACCCCGTTGTTCCCATCACTGCTCAGGAGGTAGAGCAGGTCATCCTCTAATCAGAAGGTGGGAGGTTCGATCCAGTCTCTAAGTATCCTTGGGACAGATACCAACCCCAAGTTGCTCTCTGATACAGCAATCCGATTATTGTTCAGCATCTGCAGACAAGTGGGAAACCATTTCTTTACCCCCAGTTTAAAGACAGCGCCATCTATGGACTCGTTCTTAATTCATGTGCCACTGAGTTCCTCAAACTTGCCATAAAAAAGCAACAGGACAACTGAAGTTTGAGCTTCTTCACACTTTGTCCCAGAAGTTTTAATAAGAACAACCGATCAATGTCGTTATCTCTTTATTGTTACAATGCAATCAAACATCAGCATCTATTAGCACAGTGTAACAGTGTAACAGCCCAAAGTAAATCCAACATAAAAGCCTGAGAGGAGGAGTGAGGTGGATGTTCAGGTGCTCGTTTTCTTGGGTCTGCCTCTGGATTTTTGGGCAAGTCCAGGTGATGTCTGGGTTCCCATTTCCACAAGTCTGGATTTGGGGTCACTGCTGGGCACCTTCCTGGATTTCAGAGTCTTTTGGGGACTTTTCTTTGGTCTGTCTGCAAAGTTAAATTCAGCAGGCTGTCAATCGTTTAACCCAAATGTTGTCATGTAGTTTTCATTCATAGCCTCTGCTTCAGTTACTCTATTTAGAGATACACTGACAAAAACTGGTGCACGCTGAAGAGGAAACCAACCGTTCTTCTTTGTGACTCTCTTTTTCTTGACGGGACTCGAATCCACCTCGCTCTCCTCCGCTCTATCCGCTGCCATCTTTCTTTTGGTCGTCTTCTACAGAGAGAGAAACACGATAAATATGAAGAGAAGCACCAGTCGGTGTGTTGATGTTGACTAAAAGACATTACTTTAAACCTGGGAGTCCACTGTGGGTCCTGTACAGTTTGTTTCTACAGAATATGTTAAATCAAGAACAAATGTGAATAAACATGAATATTTCCCACATAGATAATTACTGTCAAACTGCCTCATGCCATAAATTGAGATTTAATTCTATTTTTACTGAACTGTATTAATATAGTGCCAAATCACCACCATCGCCTCACACTAAGTTATTCTGTACGGTAAAGATGCTACAACCACACAGTGACAGTGGGAAGGAAAACTGAACAGGAAGAAACCTGGCCCCCGGCTCAGGGAGGGGCATCTGCTGTGAGGAGGGGGCACAGGCAAGAAGAAACACTGTAGTTCATCCAGAATCATCATTTAGCATAATCTGAGGTGTTTAACAAGCCTACAATGTGCATGCCCATCTAGCCTTTGTTAACAGGAAACACACACATGTAAATGACACAAACCGAAGAAGCCAGCAGCTCGCAGTCTCAGCCAACAGCAGCCACAACATCCTTGCAGCTTTATGATGGATGCAAACAGTCGATCCAGGCGTGCACTGATGATTATGTGCGTCTCACTGACCCTGAGCTCCTCATTATAGACTCTCCTCAGCACTCAAACTCTGTGCTGGAAAACTGCTACGTGAAGTTCTATCACAGGTATGAGGAAATCCCAGAGACTCCCCACAGGAAACATGTCATGCACTAGAATCTGACTGTCGCCATTACTCTCCTGATGTAGGGCTGTGACACTCTGCATCGACTACAACATGGACCGACCTGGGTTCATTCAAGGTGAAATGTACTTTGTAGAGCTTCCACAAACACGACGGCTGCTGAAGAGTTCTTCATAAACTTATTATGTCTGTCAAAGCAAACACGGTATGTCCTCAGGAAGTACAGGTGCCCCCAGAGAGAGCGATGCGCTTATCACAGGCAATCAGCTCCTCCATCCGCCGCCGTCCTTTCTGGGCCTGTGTAACGAGACTCCGCCCACTGCCCCCCTTTCCATTTTTGCCTCCATTTTGACAATTGCTACCTCATGATCACCATGCGGCACCCACTGAGGTGAACAGATTGGCGGGATAATTACATACAATAACAAGCACCAGGGCCCAGTAACCCTTCGGCTGGCAACACCACGTCCCCAGTGGCAGCTTCCATATGCACAGAGAGCACGTGGGGGAGTGACGGGGGGGAGAGAGGGAGAGAGAGAGGGAGATGGGGAGAGAGTGAGAGACAGGGGAGGGGGGTGAGAGAGACACAGGGGGGGGATGAGAGGGAGACAGGGGGAGGGGGTTGAGAGATGGGGGGAGAGAGGGAGAGAGAGAGGGAGATGGGGAGAGAGTGAGAGACAAGGGAGGGGGGGTGAGAGAGACACAGGGGGGGGGATGAGAGGGAGACAGGGGGAGGGGGGTTGAGAGACGGGGGGAGAGAAAAATGGGGAGAGAGAGAGAGGGAGATGGGGAGAGTGAGAGAGGGAGATGGGGAGAGAGACAGGGGGAGGGGGGTTGAGAGAGAGACAGGGGGAGGGGGTTGAGAGAGAGACAGGGGGAGGGGGGTTGAGAGAGAGACAGGGGGAGGGGGTTGAGAGACGGGGGGGGAGAAAAATGGGGAGAGAGAGAGAGAGACGGGGGGATGAGAGGGAGACAGGGGGAGGGGGGTTGAGAGACGGGGGGAGAGAAAATGGGGAGAGAGGGGGAGAGAGTGAGAGACAGGGGAGGGGGGGTGAGAGAGACACAGTGGGGGGGTGAGAGACAGGGGGAGAGAGAGAGGGGGGAGAGTGAGAGAGAGACAGGGGAGGGGTGAGAGAGAAAGACAGGTTAGGGGGTGAGAGAGAGACAGGGGGAGGGGGGTTGAGAGACGGGGGAGAGAGAGAGGGGGGGAGAGTGAGAGAGAGACAGGGGAGGGGGTGAGAGAGAAAGACAGGTTAGGGGGGTGAGAGAGAGACAGGGGGAGGGGGGTTGAGAGACGGGGGGAGAGAAAAATGGGGAGAGAGAGACAGGGGAGGGGGGTGAGAGAGAGACAGGGGAGGGGGGTTGAGAGACGGGGGGGGGAGAAAAATGGGGAGAGAGAGAGAGAGACGGGGGGGATGAGAGGGAGACAGGGGGAAGGGGGTGAGAGAGAGACAGGGGGGGATGAGAGGGAGACAGGGGGAGGGGGGTTGAGAGACGGGGGGAGAGAAAAATGGGGAGAGAGGGGGAGAGAGTGAGAGACAGGGGAGGGGGGGTGAGAGAGAGAGAGGGGGGGAGAGTGAGAGAGAGACAGTGGAGGGGGGGTGGGAGAGAGACAGTGGAGGGGGTGAGAGAGAGACAGTGGGGGGGTGAGAGACAGGGGAGAGAGAGGGGGGGGAGAGTGAGAGAGAGACAGTGGAGGGGGGGTGAGAGAGAGACAGTGGGGGGGGTGAGAGAGAGACAGTGGGGGGGTGAGAGAGAGACAGTGGGGGGGGTGAGAGACAGGGGAGAGAGAGGGGGGGGGAGAGTGAGAGAGAGACAGGGGAGGGGTGGAGGGAGAGACAGGAGGACAGAGAGAGTCAGGGGGAGTAACACATAAATGTTACGTTGTAGCTGAGAGCTCCAGCATCACGTACAGAGGCGATGATGTTTGTCCTGATGAGCACCAGCACTGAGAACAGTCAGAGACGGGCTGCTGCATGCAGACACATGAAGGGAAACTTCTTATCAGCTGAGGCAAAGACAGCAATGCTAATGACTCCAGTTCAGCTGCTTTGGTCTTAATGAAATTAACAACAGGTACACTAGAGGGGCAACAACGAGACAACTCCCAAAGCACTAGCATGAGGAGATACCAGGCTTCACAGCCAGTCCAGCCACGGCCAGGTCTGCCGTGTCGCCCAGCACAGCCATAACCCCCCTGGGGGGTCCCTAACCCATCAGCAGGAACAGTATCTGTTTCTTTGTGCGAGGAGGAACACGACGAGCACTATAAGAGCCGTCCACAAGGTTACTGGTGTGAATGTCTCTGACAAAACAATCAAGACTCGACATCCAGGCCTTGTGATCACTACCCAGCACCATGGAGCCCGAGTGGCATCGGCCATAATACCAGACTTGGCATTTCATCAAACCATGTGGCATCGCTTCATTCTGGACACGCCCCTATGACCACAACAATCTGAAGAGACAGGCGACCCCGAGGTGTTGGGGGAGGGGACTGTGAGCAGTCCCTGGAATGGACATCAAATGTGTCATCTATAGGAGCCTACACACTAACCCTTCGACCATAAAGACAGCTGGAGGATGGACACTAACCGAGAACAAAGTGAACTGGTGGATGAGTTAATGCAGAGGATGCACAACAACTACATATTATACAGTTCATAGATGTGAACTGGACACAATGATGCCTGAAACCATGAGACAGTTACTCCTGTCATCACCAAACAAAGTTAGAAGTAATTATGATGAAGCGACAGTTGTTCATTTCTTAGTCGACTAAATGAGGAAAATAATTCGACGGTAAGTCAGAGGTGTACACCCCCACAGGCTCGAGCTCAAATACTGCATTTTCTCGCTTCCCTCTAGAAACAAGTAGGAGCGCTGACCTTGGTGGGAGGCGCCGCTGCTCCACTGGCAGAGGTGAACTCCAGCTTGCCGTCCTCTTTAGGACCGATGGTCTTCAGTCCAGCCTGCAGGATAGAGCGCAGCTTGTCGTAGGGTGGTTTGGCTGTGTAGCCCAGAGACTTCACCTCCTCCATGAACCGCTGTATCTCATCTGCAACACAAGGAGAAGCCCGCTCATCAGAACCCTCACACCTTCTTGCTCGTTCGAGACCATCAGGTCATCCATGTTATTTTCATCAAACACTTCATAAACAAAGTCATAACTTAAACACAAGCTCCCCCCCCACTGTTGTCACCATAGTGTGTTGCATTCAGATGTCAACGTCAGGCTAAATGTTGTGTGGTGGGACTTTCTTCAGACTTGGTGCACACACACAGACACACACACACGGAGCAGAAAACAACAGTTTGCTCGTGCTCAGCACAGCAGAAGGACGGAGGTGCGACGTCTCCTCTGAACCGACACGCTGCCTTCCGGTCAAAGCACCTACATTAAAAGGCAACTTTTAGCACAGTCGGGCAACAATGTTGCCATTTACTGCCGCAGCTTGTGGCCTGTACTTCTATCCCAGTGAGAGGTCAGGTGGTCACTGCTCAAAGGCAGAACACCAAGTGGCGCTGTCACTTGGTGTTCGCTCGCTCTGTGGTAGAGTATCACTTCCTGTTCCTGCTCAAACACAGTGGTGTTTCTGAGTAGCTTATCTGCTTAGCAATTTAATTAAAAACTTTTAAATACATTCTTTTTTCATAGTATAATCTTCACGTGCTTCATCCGAAGCACACTGTCTGTGTACTCACTACCTAACTTATAGCCAAAGTATTCACTCACTGTCTCTGTACTGTTTCGCTAGCTTAGCTTAGCTCGTAGCCGACTCGTTAGCACCATGGCTACTTCTCCTGTCCCTCCTGCACTTTCTTGCTCATTGTGTCAGATGTTTAGTTACTCCTCGGCCTCCTTTAGCAATAATGATATCTGTAACAAATGTAGCATATTTGCAGCTCTGGAGGCCAGGATTACTGAATTGGAGACTCGGCTTCGCACCCTTCATTCACCCATAGCTAGCCAGGCCTCTGTAGCTGGTGCAGCCGAAGATAGCGTAGGCCCCGCTAGCTGTTTCCCGGCAGACCCCAAGCAGCTGGGGAAAGAGGGCGGCTGGGTGACGGTGAGGAGGAAGCATAGTCCTAAACAGCAGCCCCAGGTACACCACCAACCCGTTCATGTGTCTAACCGTTTTTCCCCACTCGGCGACACACCCGCCGGGGGTCAAACTCTGGTAATTGGTGATTCTGTTCTCAGACATGTGCGCAACAGCTGGAGTTCATGCATTTATTACTTCCAGGCTGGACTACTGTAATTCATTATTATCAGGAAGTCCAAAAAACTCCCTGAAAAGCCTTCAGCTAATCCAAAATGCTGCAGCAAGAGTCCTGACAGGGACTAGAAAGAGAGAGCAGATTTCTCCTGTTTTGGCTTCCTGTTAAATCCAGAATTGAATTCAAAATCCTGCTCCTCACATACAAGGTCTTAAATAATCAGGCCCCATCTTATCTTAATGACCTTGTAGTACCATATCACCCTATTAGAGCACTTCGCTCTCGCTCTGCAGGCCTACTTGTTGTTCCTAGAGTATTTAAAAGTAGAATGGGAGGCAGAGCCTTCAGTTTTCAGGCCCTCTTCTGTGGAACCAGCTTCCAGTTTGGATTCAGGAGACAGACACTATCTCTACTTTCAAGATTAGGCTTCAAACTTTCCTTTTTGCTAAAACATATAGTTAGGGCTGGACCAGGTGACCCTGAATCCTCCCTTAGTTATGCTGCAATAGACGTAGGCTGCCGGGGGATTCCCATGATGCATTGAGTTTTTCCTTTCCAGTCACCTTTCTCACTCACTATGTATTAACAGACCTCTCTGCATTGAATCATATCTGTTATTAACCTCTGTCTCTCTTCCACAGCATGTCTTTATCCTGTCTTCCTCCCCTCTCCCCAAAGGGGAGACAGATGGCCCCGCCCCTCCCTGAGCCTGGTTCTGTTGGAGGTTTCTTCCTGTTAAAAGGGAGTTTTTCCTTCCCACTGTCGCCAAAGTGCTGCTCATAGGGGGTCATATGATTGTTGGGTTTTTCTCTGTATCTATGAAGCGCCTCGAGGCCACTTTTGTTGTGATTTGGCGCTATATAAATAAAATTGAATTGAATCATGTTAGAAACACATGAGAGCAGCCAGGAACGGACGAAATGAATCAACTCACACTTTACTGATGATGCTGCTGTAACACACAAACCTTATCAAAGAACACTAACAGTACTGATCATAGCTGACAACAACTCCAAGGCAACTTAAACTCCTTAAACATTTAAAATAATGGAAAGGTAAAATGTTCGACTAATCATGAACTTGATATGATTTGAAGTCACACGGTTTCAGACTGTGGGATTATGCAGGGCATTGTGGTTTTCACAACCAGATCAAGACATGAGCATTCATGATGTGACAAGTGTACAAAAGTCTACAGTATATGAATAATACGGTGAGGCACGTCAGTGTGACCAGCTCAGCGCTGGTCCATCGCAGCCACAGAGCCGCCGCTGTCAGTCTGTCTCACCTGGTTTGTCTTGAGAGGAGAAACACTTGGCCATGAACTCGCTTATGTTTTCTTGACTCCTGGAGGTGAAAACGTTACACAACTTTCTTTAATACACATCAATCTGTGTGAACTGTACAACACAAAACAAAAATGTAAATAATAAAACGTACTGTAGAATTGTATAAACGGCAACGTGTTGCTGACTGGAGCACCCAGGCTCTGTGCTCAGTTTCACATACCGGATCTTGGCGTCTCTGACGTACAGCGGGTCCTGCAACTTGTCCTCCCAGGGCAGCCGGCCACACAGCCACTGAACCATGCAGTAGGACAGGATCTCCAGGTCGCTGCGCCTGGACGCGGCTGTTAGCAAACATGGCGCACGTAGCAACATTAGCAATATCAGACACTTATGTACATAATAGCATCCAGGTTATTTCCACGTTGTACGAGATGAGGAACACCAATCAGTATCAGTGTTGTTCTTTGGCAAACTTCAGCTGGAGCAACAACGCTGTGGCTGAACACACTCAGTACTACGACTGCGGCCCCAAAGGTAAGTCAGTCCAGCACACTGCCGTGTTAAAGTGCTCTGACTGCACAGCAAAACAAACATGGGTACTGTTTCGGTCTCTGGGCGAACGTGGGGCCGTGTCACACTCTACACTCTATGGTGCGTACTGAATCCCAGTTTAAATGGGGAGGAAACAGCCCAGCTGTTCTAAACAGTCCTCACTAAAATGGTTTGAAATCCGTTCACACTGATTTTCCTGTTCATGGTTAAAAACATCAGAGCCTGCCGACTCTTTCAGATTACCACTCTGGTTTTGTACACCATGTTGGGCGTCATGACTACTCGCGTACGTTTGCACCTACATGCTCCTTTGTGGCAGTCGATGCTTGTGAACTCGATGGTACCATCGTGACATTTCTTGGGGTCTTCCTTGTACTCCTTGGGCAGACCTTCAGGTGCGTACCTATAGGCCAGTCCATAATCTACCAAGTAAACCTACAGTTGACAAACACAAAGATTCAGGCATGCACACACATACACACAGTACTAATCCATGTTTTAGCAGCGTTCACTGACTGTACACAGACAGGAGACACACGATTTCAATTCTAATTCCAGCTCCATAGCACTTTATTATTCCTCAGTTTGCATTGTGCTTATATTCTCTGTGGCTTTAATAAAGAAATGTAGAGCAATAAAAGCAAACCTACATTCACCACCTCCGAGGAAGAGCAGGAAAAACAACCAGAGCCAATATTAAAATCCTGAGGGGCTGATTTCCAAATTGTCATTTATAAAAAGCTCCTTAATAACACCACCGATGATACATTATTAATCTCCAAATTAAATATTTGCCCCTGCCCCCACCTTATTTGCAGCTCTGTGCTCCTGCCATCTAATCTCCCCCGTCTGAACACTCTGGCTTCACCTCCCCCCGTCACAAAAGCCTAATTGAATCTAATGAAGCAGTGCGAGTGTGTTCCAACCAAAACCAGGCTCCTCCTCCTGCCGATGCACAGGTCACAGCGGCACTTTGTAAACTGTCACAGTTTCAGTCAGCACGCTGGAACTCCAACTGACCTGGTTGGGATCGCTGTGACTCAACATGAGGTTAGACGCCTTCACATCAGCGTGCACGTACTCGTGCTCGTGGATGTACTCCAGAGTATCCAGCTGCACAGGAACAAATACTCCATCAAATACAGAGTACAGACACATCTGTGATGTAGCAAGACCCTAGTACAAAGTAATCACACTACATGGTTTAAATATAATGTGCAGTTTGCTGCTCAGCCCGTCATCACCTCACTGAGCAGCAGCCACGTGAAGCCAAACCTGTGATCACATTACGAGGATTTTATTAGCAACTCGATTCATTACGTTCAGTTTCAGAACATAAACATTTGTCTTTTTTAGAGGGGATGTAGCCGGGCTGAGCACCACAGAGCACAGAGGAGAGTCTGACCAGAAAAAGTTTCACCTCCTCCACATAGATCTTAATAAACTAGAGCGAACGGGAGACGCGCTGGTATAAGAGAAGCGTGGGATTTCCAACAAGAAAGAGAGTCACAGTAAATGACTATTTCACAGTCTATCCAGTGTCACTGTGACAAGTCTTACTGGACTGTGTAAACAAATTACTTCATTGTTGGTATTTTCATGCAAACAAAGGATTTTCGATCGGAAGCACAGGTGCAGGAAATCTGCTGACGTTCGCGTTTCCGTAAAGCGGTGTCAGATTACAGTTTCAGCTCACTTTAAAAGCAGAAACAATCATTCCAGGATGAGCAGGAGAATGCTTCTGACCCACAATCATTAACACAACTGAAAATACACTTGTGTCTCTTTGGGAAAACCCATTTCCTCCCCTGTGCATCACTAACTCTGAGGATGAAACCGCTTGTTATTCGACCCTCATCATCAGTTATTTTCAGTTTGCGAACAACGTTCATCCTCAGGATGTTGGTCATGACCTGCTGTTTACAACCTAAGTGATTCAGACTGAAACAACTTCATCGTGACAAAACCAACCAGTCGAAGGCCAAGCTGCAGGACCAGCTTTCTGGGAAATCTCCTTCCGCATTCCTCAAACTTCTTCTGCAGGTCTGTGCCAAGTCTGTCGATGACCATGAACCTGTATCTGGTTGGGACAGAGAGCTTTGTTAGCAGAGCGTCAGAAAGGCTGCAGCTTTACCTGTTACTGTGAGGAGAACGCAGCTGTTTCACTTTACTTCTTATTTGGCGTTTTCTTTCATCGAGCTTTCAGGACATTAACACAGTAAAAAAAATAATAAAATATTAAAAACTGAGTTGTAAAAGGCATAAACAGGGAGATTAGCTTAAATATCGGAGTTACTATAAGTGCACAGAGGAGGTCAGGAGAGGTGATGCAAGGGCTGAGGATAGTGCTAACTATGTGACCCAGGCGGGACCAAAGCTGATGCCTTATCAGGCCACTGGGCCCTTATGAAACCAGTAACAAGTGCTACTACTGAGATCCACTACATGGTATCAGGCGGTGCCAAAGTAATCCACTGAATGAATCAGAGTGAGGTCTGCTATAGAAGGGAGAGACCTGAGCTGGGAAACACAGGCTCTAATCAGCGTAATCATGCCCACCTCTCCTTTAAATCTGTGTGTGACTCCATCCAGTGTGCAACATGCAAACACCATGGAGGAAAAGTCAAACACAGTTGATGCACAGCTCGAGCTGCGTGCACCAAATATAACTGCTGAACCTGAACGACTGCACGTCACACAGAGGGAGGAGAGACGGGCTGCATCATTACAACCTGAGACTCGTCCCCAGCACTCCCACCCTTACCTTTGACCCCCTCTCTCATGTCGACCCGAGCCCCAGTACCGGGGCACGCCCAGGTTCTTCAGCTTCTTGGACTTCATCCAGCTCTGAACTGCAGGGCAAGAGTAAACGTATCAGACACGTACATGAGCTTTTAATGTGTGCATACATGAAATCAACAACACAGGAAGTAACTCTGTGAAGCCTGGTGCTGGTTTAAGTGGGTGATGGATGTGAGACTCCAAGTAATAAGAGTATAAATCAGTGGGGGAAAGTGGCCAATATGGCCGCGAGCTAATCTGCTGCTGGGACAAATATTTACCAACAACGTGAGACTCCAGCATGAATAAAATATGAGGCTTCGGTTCCTTAGTCATATAACAGTTAATCGTCAGGGGAGACTGACATTTGGATTGTTATTATATAAAATGCAAAGCGGTGGCCCGAGGGCTGGCGGCGCTGCCACCAAACGCTTCCTTTCCTTTGTAGGGCTCCTCTGAGCCTCGGCTGCAACACCATCTTTTAATTAAGAAACTTGCCTCTCTTTTTATTTGTTTGCCCTGCTGGTGTGAGACTTGTGTTATGATCGCAGGGCTAACTTTGGCTCGCTGACAGTGTGTGTGTTTATAGTGTCTGATCATGTGACTCACTGAGATCCGGCTTGGCAGCTCTCATGTAAAACGCGAGCTCGCAGAAAAGCGGTCCATTGTCAATAGGCTCCTGTGGACAGATCAACAGGTACATTAGGTCTGCAGACCCACAACAGCACACCGGGCTTTTGTGTTTCCACCCTTCACAGGCAGAAAAAAGAAACAATCCAGAGTACAGCTCACAGCACGGCAGGCCGGTTCCTTCTCTTCCGTTTAAACATTTAAAAAACAAACAAAGTGCAAAAACTGGTTGTGTGTTTAAATCCAGGTTCACAGACTGTTACATCTCTGACAGTTAGGAGCAGGTCCGTGCTGGGAATGAGCCCCAGCAAGCGGTCGTGCTGCAGTTTCAATAAAAAGATTTAAAATGTTAAATAAATGTTGAATAGCTTCCACAGTTTGTTTCAGACAGCGACAGCACAAATAATTAGAGTTAAAGTTGGAATAAACACAGTACAGGTAGAGCTTTACATTTGGCCCACAACAGCCATCACGTCACTTTTTAACAGCAACGCCTGCAGCGTGCAGATGTGAGCCTGCAGTGGGCTACAGCACAGTGGAGCTGACGGCGCTTTTATTCAGGCCACGCTCGCTGCTGTACGTCTCTCCTCACATCTCGACAATGATTTGAACCAAAAACGTAAAATTTGGATTCAAACGTTGCCACTGATTCAGTTCAGATCTTGGGTGATGGGGCATCCCCGGGCTTTTTCTCCCCGTTTCTCCTCCTTAAGAATAGAAACAGGGAAATGGTCACAGTGCAGAAAGCGCCTTATTGGCTGCAACGTTTGCACTGTGATCACTTCTCGTGACACTTCAGTGACCAGCAACTGGACAGAGCCATCTGAAAGGTCCAGGGTCAAGGCCTGTGCTGGCTGCATCGCTGCAGTTAGTGAACAAATAAATCGGACGATTCTCAGAGTCAAATGGGAGAGACTGATGAGTCTGCACATTAGAGCAGAAAAGCAAGTCAAACAAGTCCTGTCAGTATGTGAATTATTTCTGGACTTAATCCAATGAACTTATGCTACCAATTAAGTCTTAACTCTTGATGGGCTTAACTAAAGTGGAAGTGTTATAGAATAGAAATTGATATGTCATAAAATACAAAGGTTGAGTTGGCTTTGGTAGCTACTTTTCTGTGAGTAAAGACAAAAGTATGTGACGAGTAATAATGCCGGGACTGGAACAAACTTAGTCCTACCACTTTGATGACATAGCGAGCGTCAGCACCCACGGGGTTTGCAGAATTTTCCTCGGCTGGGGAAAACATGAGAGGGAATATGTTCATTATTTACAGTATTTGGTTGACACATGCTTAAAATCTTTATTCACTTTTATTCAATATAAAGTTTGCAGCTCAAACTCGGATGTTAACTAGAACTAACATACAAATAACATTGTCTTTCTTACCCAAGTATATGACCCCAAAGCCCCCCTGACCGATCGGAGCCCCCAGCTTCCATTCCTTCTTCATGGTGTCCTTCAGCACTTCTCCAGGAGGAAACTCCTCTGCCAGTTTCCTCTTGGCAGGGGCTCTGCCTCTGCCTGCCGCCTTGGCTTTAGGGGGCATCTAACACACACAGCCACGGTGGTCGTTAGTGCTGCTCCATCGTGATGGAAGCAGAGCTCCAAAATAAAACTAAGCTAAACATCGTTGTAAACACAACAAGAAATGGAAACTTGTACTTTTCGGGTCACATGAGAACCATGTTTTTATCTGTACCGAAGTTAGCTAACCACATCCTGAGTTCCCCATCACCTGCTAATGTGTGCAGCCTATACGAGACACGAACCGCCTGTTAGCATTCAAACCAACAGAAAGAGAAACAGTAAAGCGATGGCGTCGTGCGAATCCCGCACCTTGCGTTGTTCTTTCGAGGCTCGTTAGCTCTCATGCTAACTGCGCGGTCTTGTGAGTAACCGTGTGTCACATTAGCGCCTACATGACCCGCTACATGACGCCGTCCGACAGCACACGCTCCCGAGTCGCTGTGGTTGGTTCCGTTAGCGTACACATATATGCGTGTATGACAGAAACATACCGTCGCTTCGTTGTTTATGCTTCCCTGTAGGAGAAACTGTACACGGACCAAACTTCCCGCAAAACTACCGGTCAGGAAGTGACGTCCTCGTACCGCGCTATTTTATTGGGGGAAGTCGGTGCTTCACTACTGCGTGAACAGCGACGAGCTGTCCTTTCTGTTAGCGTGAAGAAGTTTAAATACGCATTTAATCCCGGGATCTCTTAATATATGAAAGATGTAAATATATTTTAAACATGTCTTAATATAAGAAGAAGTGCAGTTTCAACAGCAACTCTATTTTCTGCATTTCTGCTGCTGAAACCTGCCAACATGACTCCTGTGGGCTCAGTTCTAATAAAGAAATATGAGCTCAGACTGTCCTGTAAATATAAAGCAGAAAGTTTACAGAAAATGCCTTTTTTAATGTGGAACCATCATCCATCCATTATCTGCTGCTTATCCTCCATGGGGCAGGTCTTCAGTACGTGATCAACTATCAGAGCTGTGTTATTAATTTCTTATTGTTTTATTATCAAACCATGGACTAATATGTCCTATTGTGCTATTTAGTTAAGTCCAAATCTGTGTTTGATTCTGTAAATTTATTTAATTTGGGAAAGAACAACATTTAATGTTAGGGCTTGTGCGTAATACTTTGCAGTCAATAACTCCCTGAGGTGTAGAACCATGAGTTTTGTGATTCCTTAAGTCAGTAAAAGGTCATCCAAAGTCACTTTTTGTCTTTATAATAATGAAAACATCTCACCCAGTTTGTAGGCAGTGCAACTATATCAGAGTAAAACACAGTCCGCGCTGCTCATAGTTCAGATTGTGTATATTTGCACCTAAGTGATTAAATATATATGCTTTTGTCTCCATGCACCATAATGATGTGTTTTCCACCCATCCAGCCACACCAGTACTGCTTCATCTTATAAGGCACCTGAGAGAAACAGAAGGGGAAAGTCTTATTTTCTAGGTTAAGAAGAGCATTCATTAATTTCACTACTGTCACTGTATTGCCCAATCAAAAGTCTTAATACCTCTCCCCAAGGGCGTGGATTTGGTTTTGGCATCGGTGGGGACGGATGATTCAGCCATTGAACCCTGTCCTGTTTCTTTTTTTTCCTTTTTGTCTTTGCTTCTTGATAAAAAAAAAAAAAGAAGTAAATACACTTGCCTACATATGCTATTCTACATGCTTTTAAACCATTTAAAATTACAATTCATAGTTTTATATGTGAATTATATAATGTTAAGTTACTATTAAACAAATGACTGACTTTAGTTTACTTCAACCATATTCCATATAAATCAGGTATCATACAAAAATAAAAATAGCTTCAAATACAGTCATGACAATAAAAGAATATGACTTTAAGGACTTAACAACATTAGTTCAGTTATAGTACACAAACATCTCTGACACATTAGCACTAAGGGAACACTCAGTGACCTGCTGGTTTTTGTCCATAAAACTACTCGTCTAAGATGACCACAGAGTAAAAGATCTCTCAGCAAAATGATGCAACATTTTAGGCACTATTGCCCCGATTAACTCAGTGAGCTGAGATCTTTTATTCTAAACATGAACTACTGTTACAGCAACAGACATGGACTACATGCCCCACACAACAACTCAATGTCCACTATGTGAAGGAGCCAAACACAGGCCTGCTCCTCTCGTTAATCTACAGCACCAAATCATCATCAGTCACCTGTGAGCTCTCCTCTTCACCTCTGTCCGAGCTACATGGCAGAGCTGCCTCTGTCACCTGATGAATAACAGTGAGACACTCCACATACATGCAGTCACACATGTGCTTCAAATACAGTCATGAACCACCAAGTCATCATCCAACTTCACCTGTGATCTTGTGTCACCATTACTCTCTGAGCTCTGTGTTGGTTCTTCTGTCACCTGACAAACAGGACAAACATGACAATAAGAATAAAACGTGCAGCTGCTTCAGTGTTTCTGTCACTTTGTGCAGATCTTGACTCGTCAGTAATGTTTGTAGGATGAGTGCATTTTAAAACTGTGCAAACTGCACTACAAGGTGGAATATCTGCAAAATCATGACGACCTCATGATATTTTGTCTCAAAAATTAACCCTATGAATATGTCAGAGCCATTAGGATGAAATTATTGTGTCACCAACATTTTAATGTTAGACGTATAACTTTAACAGCCTCTGTAAACTAACAGTTTCTCTGACAGCTTCAATCAAAATTAGAAACGCTGCTCTGAGACTGAGAGAACTAACAGTGCTGCCTGCTGTGCAGGTAGTTTCCAAAACACGGTATTAATGGGTACATACTTAGACTGATGTGGGCCAAAGCCTAGCACAGCCTGTAACGTTATTATGACGGACACATTTTATGCGTTAAGTGACTCACAGGTTTATATGAAAAACACTTTCTTATATCCAGCTTCTTCCTCTTTGCTGCCGTCCTCCTCTCCTCCTCCTCCTCGCAGCGCAGGCTTACCGCTGCTGAAACTAAACAGAGCTCCCTGAAAGGCTCAGCCAATCACATTGGCCATATTTGTCACATGACGTAGGACTCCAGTAGAGCACGTCATTTAACTCTTTCTGCACCGCTGGGTGAATGAGACGCTGACAGATCGTTTTTTCTTTCTATAAGGTTTGTTTGTTTTTACTCGAAGAGATCGAAATGTTGGTGGGGACAATTCAATAACCGCTGGATATTGGTGGGGACGTGTCCCTTCCGTCCATGCCAAATCTACGCCCTTGCCTCTCCCCTACTTTCATTGTGTGCCTGTATAGCAGAGTTTACTGTGGAAGAAGTGGGTGATAATGATGAACAAACAAAAATGAAAAGGTGGCACTAAAAAGCTGAGAGAGAAGACAAAATTACAAAAAGATGCAGCAAAATGTGTCTAATTTAGTGACTTGTTATCTGTCGAGGCTGCTGCATCGTCAACAGTGGTAACAGCAACAACTAGTAACAAGTGCTCACAGGCTGAAGAACCTACTGCTGCTAGTGCCCTGTGTGGAGAAGTGCAGCAGTCCTAACTGCTATGGGCTTGAAGTCGGCCTCTAGTGTTGTCACATCCCCATTGAGTTCCTGATGAAGGCTCTCAGGGTCCTGTTGATCTTGTACAGTTCTAGGCTGGTGTTTTGCTCCTCTGGTATTCTTGCCCATCCCTTTCTGTGCCCCACTCATGTGTCTGTTCATCTTAGCCTCTATGATGCCTGACAGGAGCTTCCATGTGATGCTGAGGCAGGTTACTGGTTGGTAGTTGGAGGGGACCGGTCCCTTCCTGGGAAGAAGCTGTTCTTTAGTCTGTTGGTTTTGCACCTGATGGGTCTGAACCTTTTTCCAGAGGGCAGGATGTTGAAGAGGTGGTGGTTAGGATGGAGGTGGTCCTTTATAATTGCTCTGGCTCTGGAGAGACATCTTGAGCTGGAAATTAAGTGCAGGTAGGAGAGTGTACAGCCAATCACCTTCTCTACAGTTCTTATGACCCTCTGTAGTCTCTTCTTGTCAGCTGTTGTGCAACCAGTGTACCACACAGGTGGCACAGTAGGACACTAGGAGGTCAGACTGCAGCCTGTTCCATCTCAGAACCCCCAGGAAGTGGAGGCGCTGCTGGGCTTTCTTCACCAGGGCTGATGTGTTTGTGGTCCAAGATAGGTCCTCAGATATGTGGGTGCCGAGGAACTTAATAGAGGATACCCTCTCCACAAAGTCACTTTTATGGAGAGGGGGGGGAATCCGTTCTTGTTTTGTTGGTGTTTAGGGTGAGGTCATTGTAGTTGGCCTGTTCTACAGTTGTGCTCTGTCACACTTTACTGTACTTAGCACAATAATTAGAGTGGCTGCTGCACTTTAGCTGTTCATTTGCGTGTTTGTGTGTTTCTAAGAAATGTTCTCTGTAAGAAACAAATTACTCCAATGAAAAGTTCATTCTTGTAACTGTAACCCTTGAAAAACCATCATTAGAGAAGCTTGGTGGGGGCTGCTGCAGAGACGAAGGTCGGCCGTGCTTCAGTGGCTGTTGCAGTGTGTTGTGTCAGGTTGGCTGTGATCTGTTGTCTCTGAACTGTCTCCACAAACTGCTGCTTCTGTATTTTGTCTGTTTCATTCTGTCTTTTTTGACATTGTCAGGCAGCTTGCAGAGACAGACACTTCAGTGGGAAACTCAACCAAAGTATTTGGATAACTAAGAATATTTGATCGAACGTGGTTACCTCGGTAACTTACCTGTGTTTGTCTTATCCAGAACAGCCCTGAATTTTGTAAATGAATCTGAATAAGTATGTAAATGTGCAGAGCCTTACCTGTTTTCAGTGTGTCATTCGATCCAAACATATTGGGTAACAGTGCACAGCTCATGAATAAGATATTGGTTCTTCAGTGTCGCCACAGACTGAAGACGTTTCACATTCACGAGGGCACGTCGTCACTACTTCACTCTTTTATGTTACCAGAAGTACTTCAGTAGCTGCTGTCACAGCTCCATGGATAGCATGTAACGTGACCGACGCTGGAGTCCCATCCTGACTAACCATTGGCCTTCTATTACAATAGAGCGCTCCGTGCTGCAGTCCTAAAGTAAAGAGAGGCGATGACCAACTGCAGTGATGATGAGCAGAACGATGACAGCTCAGGACAGCCCAGAAGGAAATCAAAGAGAAGTAAAGGAGGAAAGCATGTGTGCTTCCCTCCGGACGAACAGCTAGTGTCCAGCTTTGCTGAGCATGGGAACGCTGAGAAACTGGGTGAGCTGCTGTTTAAGTGATGACGTTCAGTGATGGTGGAAGTGTAGCTCTCACTTCTATACCTGATTTAAGCTCTTAACATCTCATTAAAAATGACCACTACATGTTATTTTAGCATCTTAATATCTAAAGGACGTGATCAATCCATGATTTCACTAAAAGAAGTAAATTAAAGAATTTTACATATTTTATATTTATATTTGAGATTTTGAATCAACGATTTGAATGTATTTGT